ACACAGGATGAATTGGCAGTTATATGAATTGTATGGCACTCTAAAAATATACTGTCCATGTAACGTTTAAATTAAAAAAACTTGAATATACTAAATAATTGAATTGATTACTTCGTATCTTTTATTTATTCAACTGATAATTTGAAGGAAAAAAAACCATTATTAATTTACCACCATTTTCATTATAATATAAGGCAACAAATTAACAATGGCTCCAACTACTGAACAACATCTAAGATAAAAAAAAAAAAAAAAAGACTCACCAGTTTGTTTCGAAGATAGATTTCATAATCTGGCAATTTTCCTGATCGTCGGAAAATGTTTTCCTGTGGGAAAAAAAAGTAAAAATATAATTTTGTATTGCTTAGCTTCTAAAAAATAAAAAATAACCCATAAAACTTCATAACATTGTATTACATAATAAAGTAATATAATTTTTATTTATTTTTTTAAATTTTAATATTTCCTTTATATTTTATTTTTTTTATTTACTACAGTATCTTATTTTTAATACTTTATTATTATTATTATTATTATTATTATTGTTGTACTTTTCATTCATACACTTAATCATTTTTATCTCATTTTTTATTATTTATAATTCATGATACAGTACAATGTTCTATTTATAAATTTTAATTTGACACTGCCATGGGCAATGGTATAGACATTTTTTTTTTTCACTATTACTTGTAGAAACACAAAATAGGTCTTTCCTAAATTAGTAGCATTGCTTGTGTTACTGACTGGAACGCCAGATATTTAGTTTCCAATACAAAGGGATTACATGGTCAGGACTAGAGGGAAAAAAATGGTTGTGCTGCGACCATAAAAGTTATTATAAATGCCTCCTACACCAAATGTTATGTCCAGCTAGCCTCCGGGGAAATGCGCAATGTCACAGACCAGCAGTCATGCAATCGCACATTTTTTCAGCCGTGAACGTGGTCTAAAACATGTAGTAGAGTGACACCCTCAGTTAAGCCTCAACACGATTACATTCTTAGAATGCTATAAACGTGTTAATAAGATAATTACAAATGGAAGTAGAATGTAACACATCACATCACATCATCCAATTGCAGTATCTGTCAGTGGAATCTGAAGCAATACCACGCCAGCGAGCTGAGGTCATTTGCGTTCGTGTCAATAAACTAAAGACAATGCATTCTACCCTTGATGAATTCTATTGCACAGCATCTTAAGATTTATATTAATTTTCTACAGTTTGCTTTTAAAAAGAAGTCTTTGAGGCTAGAGTTTGAAGAGGGAGAATAAGATGTCCTTTCAACAGAATGAACAGCAATTTACTGCAGTAACAGCTAATTAACAAACATTACATAGATACTGTATTTGTGAACATACAACTTTTACCTACAACATCACTTGTATATTTGTTATTGCTAATGAGAATTTGGGATGCTTATGTTGAAATTCTGAAGCAAAAACTATGCAGTAAAGAGGGAAATGAAATGGAAAAGACCTAAATTTCGATAACAATTCAATGAATTGAAAGACAAGCTTATCGTTAATAACTATAAGTTATATATTACTGTAGTTTATTGAGAAGGAAGCCAACAGACTTGGTATTCTGTGATCACGGGGACCCTGATTTTCACTATACTATACAACATGAAATTAATTTTTTAATCATGATTAATTGTATTCCAACAAGAATCATGATTCATAAAAATAAACCTTCAGTTTGGACGACAACACAATGAAAAATAGAATAGGATTCACTGACATGATCTTCGATGGCCAGCTAATCAATATTAAATTTTAATTACTGAACTCTGGCAGCCAAATATCATGACTCAACGAATTAAGTTTTGATGAACGATAAGACAATGATAACAAATGCATCAAAGTGATTCAACGACAGTGATCAGGAAACTTAGAATTAGGCCACAACGATGAGTTAGCAATCAAACGCATTCACATTACATTAGTCATTGAGGTTTTGAAGGGCAAACTAAATTGTAACATTAAAATCAGGTTAAATTGGGGAGAATCTGTAAAGCATGGATGATGAAAAGTGGATTGGCTCCAAAATTAATAAGTAGTATCTGTTTTGTTCTGTTCATCCCACAGTCAAATTTACAGTTGGCAAACAGTTCTTTCCATCCCTCTCGATCCTCTGTCTTTCATTGTAGTGTCTCGCTCAGTTTAAAGCCTGTCTATTCTGTGATGTTGTCTTCCCATCTCTTTCTCTGTCTACCTCTCTTCCTGCCTCCTTCTACAGTTCCTTGCAGGATTGTTTTGGCAAGTCCGGACGATCTTGATACCTGTCCATACCACATTAATTTTCTTTTCTTGACAATGGTCAGTAGATCTTCGTATGGCCTAATCGTTCGTCTTTACCTCTTCAATTGTGATGCGGTCGTTATAGGAGATGCCAAGAATCTTTCCGAAGCATCTTGATTCCATGGCCTGAATTTTTCTCTCTAACTCAGCTGTCATAAGACTCGCATACGTAGAGTACTACAATGTTACGTCACGATACCATGTGATACTACTCCGTTGCTATCGCTGCAAAAAGCGTTCAAGTGGACGTCATTTTCTCCACTGATAAACCACTGATCCTAATTTCTAACGTAATTATTAAGATGTTGCACCTTAGTTTTTCTTTGTAAATTTTAATTGATTAAATGTGTGTTCGATTACTAACATAATGCGAGCTTTTGTGTTTTTAGTACATTTTGATTGTAAAATATTAGATTTTAAAATGCCATTTCCAGAAAGCCTATGAATTCATTCATGCGTAATAAACGGTAACCAACGTCTGGTTGGCAACAGAGGGTGCCACCTGGTGCTGTGATGACACTACTGTGGTACTATATAGGAAAATAGAGTAAGAATAAGTAGCATAAGAACCTCTAATGTTTGATTTAGAGACCGCTTATTATAATTAGGTTTGCTATATGAATACATACTGTATATTATGATCGACTATTCTGGAGGGGAAATTCGATGGGATGTTCATGAAAATGACAATTAACAACATTAAATAATGGTTAGGCACAGAAGAATAATTAGCTCTTAGTAAAATAAAGAGGATGGCCAAGGTCAACAACCAATGTCAAAACATTACCTACATTACTTTGAAACAAAAATTAATCTTTTTAACCAATTGAAAAAAGCAGGAATAAACATGCAGTAGTTATGTTGGGCAAAGATTTACCTAGTTTTACACCCAGACTACAGCTAATTTCATGGGCCTCCACAAATCCATTGGCAATCCTTAATCACCCACCCTTACAGCTACAACCCTGAAAAAGCTAACTGTGGGTATAAGCTAACTCCGAACTTTATGCGCAATTTCAAATAGCAGCATTTTCCCGGGTAAAATCCCAACTGACATGACTACAGTACCTTGCAGAAAACATTTACAATGCTTTCAAGAAAAAAAAAATTGAACTGCCTTTTGAATGGACATCCCTACACATTAGCCAGGCTCAAGAGAGAACAAATTTTTTTTGTCTTGGCTTTCTAACCATGCCCCACCCTTCTGCACAGACTGTGAATTCTGGCTTTTGTATTAGCCTTTACACATGTACAGTAGTCTCAGTTATTGTTTAGTTTCCCACTAATCAGCTCACTACCCAAAACATATAAGTTTCACTGACTTGAAATTTCTGCAGATACTATTCTCTTGTTAAAGACAACTACAGTAAAGCAACTCAATTGAAACATTAAGATATTCTTAACCAACAATAAACAGTTCTTTTCAGAACTATAATATACGTGGTGTACCGCAAGCATTAATATATTTATTACTTGCCATGCCAACTATCAAACGACAAATTTCTTATTATAAATGTTGTACAACTGATTTTTCTAAGGCACAAAAAGGGTGTCTGACGAAAAACTAAAAACTAATTTACATATTTAAAAAATTAAGATAAAATGGTGAAAAAAAAAGGGTTGTTACACATCTTAGCAATGATGCCAGCTCTTGACTAAAACATGGTATAGATGCACTTGAGCCAGAGACAAGGATTTCTGTGCTCCTGTGAACAGAGTAGCTACTTACTAGCCATGTCAACTGAGTAAATATTTCTCCCTTCTCCAAGGTGAATGAAATAGAACGTAGAAGGGTTAGATTCTAGATCAGAGGAAGTCGTGTAACCATCAGATTATCCCTCAACACTTGCACTTTTACAGGGCTGGATTCACGGTTAGATGCAGTATTTTTAGAACAAAATAATTTCATTAAGCTTCTCAAACACTTCTCAGACAATTTTATTTTTTTAAAAAGTGATATTTTTAAAGTACAGAAAAAATAATAATTATTACATTTCACTATCATCATCACTGATATTAGCATTCTAATCCCTGTTTAATGTGTTTGTTCGTAAGCTAGAAGATAAGTCATATTATTGCCTGAGAAAGAGGAAATGAAGTTTGTATTCACATTTACAGTATGCATAGTACTATACATTATTATGATCTTTATTTTGAATTTCTTTTGAGCGCAAGTTGGAGTTTTGGCTCCAATCCAACAAAATTTCAGTCCAGGCCTAGCCTAGCATATCGGTAGTGTAAATACATAGGAATTTCACACAACCCCGATTTTACGTACAAATGATTTTTACCAACACCTCTGGGCCCATCCCATACGTAAATGAGGGGTTCTACTGTACAGAGAAATAATAATCAGATTATCATATTAATAATAATTATTACATTTCACTATTATCATCACTGATGTTATTATTCTAATCCCTGTTTAATAATACTGATATTTAGTTTATCAATTTAATAGCAATAGTGATGAAACATGGAAGAGGCACAGTTCAATGGTACTGCCTCCACCCACCATTATTAACCCTCCTTAAAAATCCACTCTTATTATTTTTATTCACCAATGTTATCACCCACCAACCTTAGTTTTCTACAACCCTGAACCATGTATTTTATCCTTACCTTAATTTTATGAACATTGATGTGAGTGGGATAGAATCGTTCTGCCCTCTCAACCCAATATCGCAACTTTTCAACATCATAATTTGGAATGGTACAACCAAGAGATGCAACTAAAAAAAGTAACATCAATTATTTTAATTTTAAATGCTCAAAACCACATAAAACACAGTGACATAAAGAAAGTCAATTTTAGAGATGTTAGCCACAGCAGTACCGATATTATATATTTTACTGTTTGTTAATACAAATGCAAATTACTTACTTCTTAGTATCAATTCTCTTTGAGTGTCATTTAACTCCAATGATTTCTTGTAACAATCAATTGCTTTGCCATAATCCTTCACCCCCTCATACAAGTTGCCAAGTAACTTATGAGCTCTGTTATCATTGTGCTTTACTGCTAGGTAGCTCTGTGCCCATTTTATACCAAGAACATACTCCCTAGCTTCCCAGTAAAATGTGGCAAATTGGAATCCACGTAGTTGAATCTAATTAATAAAGAAAAAATTAAATATTATTTATCCTATAATTTTTGTATGTAGTATCCTACTCACATTCAACTAGTGGCAATATGAGCAGGGTCTAAACCTCTTATCTGCCGCACAAACCAAGCCTCAAATACATGTTTCCAAACTTCACAAATACTGTAGGCTACTGTACAGGCTAGGACTACTGAACTATAGCAAAACCCTAGAGTGTAAAATAAGGCCTGTGCAGGTAATAACTTCAGGCCCAGAATCTGTCAAAAATCAGAGCCAATTTGTGTGCACATTTTCAGAGTCTCCTGAACAAGCTTAAGTATTCTAAATTTTAAAATGTAATTATTAAAAAATAAAGACTATAATAATAAACAAATAAAATAATTAAATTAATAACTGTATAACTTTAAATATAAATTTAAACACCCCTTGAAGCAGTTGTTTACAGGAACCTGTCAATTTTAGCAGAAATTACTTCGAGCGGATGCTAGTTCAAGCGGAAAAAGATCCACTTATGCGAAACAGCGGCCTGTGCAAGTTATGTATGAATATACTTAAAAATGTCCTATTTTTAGCTAAAAATTTGATTTCGGCCAAGGCTCAAGCTTTAGTCCTGGGAGCCAGGGGAAAAACCCTGGTGGGTTCCAGAGGAGAAGCCTTTAGCCTTATTTATAGAAGTCGTATTTAATTGATTTTGAGGTTAACAATTTACGCTCATAAAAATAATTATTTATTTATCTTCAGTACTCTAAGTCATTCGTAATTGTTTTTCTTTCTTTAAGATAAGTGGGTTTTGAATCATAACGAATGGTGAATTGTGAGAAACTTGATATGATGTCACTATTTTACTGTACTGTTGATAGTCTTGTCATACTACAGTACTACACCAATGATTTGTGCACCTTCTGACACCTAGATATGTAAAAATTAATTTAAATTTATTTTTGTGAATAACCATTAAATTAGTTATTCCCATTTATATATATAAATCGTAAATTAATTGCCTACAAATACAATTACAACAAAGTAAATTACAGTACAAATATATATTGCTTTTTAAAATTTATAGAAAACCCCAACTGGAGACAAAAACGTTGAATTCAGAATGAAACGTGCGCACTTCAATAGTTTTATAGCAGGCCTACAGTAAGTGCTTGTTAGCGGCCGTCTAGTAGTTTGATTTACCAAGACTGTCATTCAAACTTGGGGTTTTTTATTTGAAAAAGCAAATTACATTTGTATTTGAATTACGTTGTAATTGTATTTGTAGTCCAAAATTCATGATTTATATTTATTTAGTAGTAACTTTAATTGAATATTCACCATAGAAATTTAAACTATAATTTACATAGATAGGTGTCAGAAAGTGAATAAAACATTGGTGTAGTTTGACAAGACTATCAACAATACAGTAATAATGACTGACATGACATCATGTAAGTTTTCACACCAGGGCGTTTTCCTTTGCTCCCAGACAAAGCTTGAGCCTCGGCGGAATTCAAGTTAGCTCAAAATAGAAAATTTTCAAGTAATCCGTACAGTTGTTGTTTGCACAAATGGATCTCTTTCCGCTCGAACTAGCATCCGCTCGAAGTAAAATTCGCGCTCGAAGTAAAATTCGCGCTCAAAGTGGCGTCCACTCGAATTGGATGGTTCCCATATCAATGGATGCTCACAAGTTTCCTGAATATTGGAGGTTGCAAAGTATCCGTTCAACAATTAAAGCGAAGTCGAAGGCCTACCTAATATTTAGTATCTATCTAGGCCTATTATAATGTGAAAATTATTTGGATGCCAGGCTGACAAAATGTTGCACTTCAATCTCTGTGTCATACTGCATTACATCTGCCTACCATGAGCAAGAAATCAAACAAATTTTACTACAATAATAGCCCAGGCTACGCCTAGCTAGGCAAGCCAGTATTGATAACACGTTAAGTACAGTTGTGCAGGTGGCCACAAAGAAGCCAACGGCCGCGCGCCAACAAGCAAATGCTAGGCCTAGCCTAGCATTACATTCCCTTCCTTTCAAAACAATTATCAAGAATGAAGTACCTCTTGTTCGCTTTTTGCTTTTCTTCTGAAAGAAATAATAAAGTTATCAATCTCTACTTTGGACCGTGACATATTTTACATTGTTGAATATTCGAAAAATACGACAAAATAATATCACGATATCGTCACAGTTACGAAATTCTCAATTCAAAATAATCGTATTTTCGAATCTTCTCATCATCATGGACTTTATAATCTGTCTCTTATACACATCTAGATGTGTATAAGAGACAGTATACAAAGACACACAATATGGTACAAACTTGCAATGAACTGTCTTCGTAAAGCTTAAACGAGGATAAACCTTATAAACAATATATTTCATCCGATCAATTTAATTTATTAAATGTAACTGTTTTCTTTTAAATAAACTCCCTTACGTAAAATCGGCTGAATCGGGGAACATATTAAGTGTTTAGTGCAAGTACAAACAAAGGTACAAGATTAGAATCAAATACCGTATAGAATTTAAGCTAACAAAAACAAAATATTCAAAACAAGTCTACGTTATATTAGACCTATATTGAAAAAAATGTAAGCTTTTCAAAAATTCGGCCAAATTCGGCCAAATATAGTTTGGCCGTGACTTTTCAAATGCTACGGCCAGACAAATTTTTATACGGCCAGATTTGAGGAATCTGGCCGTCAAAAAGGCCAAATGGCAACCCTGTTTCCAGCCACTGCTTTGCCTCAAAAGAGGGCGCTATTGCAGTATATTAAACAGAGCCGTAGATAGAGAGAGTTTGGCCAACTTGGCGCATGGGCGCCATGTTGTCACCAAACAGCGTGCACGCGTATAGCTTTATAACATTTTATAAAACAAAGATGCTGCATAAACTTTCTTTCATTATTCTGTTCATGAGGACAATTCAATTATGGGATTTTAACATATCATTGTAAATATCATATACTGTATAATCATATTTACCTAACTTTGGAATTAATTAATCAGTGACGTGCTGTATTATTTCGAGAAGATAAAGTGAGGACGATTCTTTTTGTTTTAAAAGTCTATCATCTAGGCCTATACCTAGTTGCTAGCAGCCTACTCTATATAGAATGAGGCTCCTAAGAAGAGTCAACACTGCAGGAGAAAGGTTGGTTGTGCAGACAGAGTAGGTTTGTGAATCGTCGGCGATAATTAATTTCGCCTGTAAATGAATGATAAAAATATTAATAACATGAAAGTTTTCTAATTGTATCTAGGCCTCTAGGCCTATGACTTCGTAAACTTTAATTTTATTGGAGGATTCAATTTTAATTATAATTTAAGCTACCACTGATACTAGTCTTCATGTAGCTTTCTGTAAATTTTATATAATTTAACAGCAAAGCGCAACATTGTAGCTTTTTATAAATCATTGCTGCTTGAAAATTCTTCCTTTTTTTTTTTATTATCGTAATTAAGCTGATTTAAGTACTACCTTAAGGTGTTCGGCCGAAGAAGTACCAAAATTTAGGCCTGTCTAGGCCTAGTAGTAGTAGGTGGATATATATTAAAGTGGGGCGGGCAGTACATGCCTTATTTAATTTACTACGTGGATAGCGAGATTTTTCGATCGCCATACAAAGTTAAAATAAAATCCCAAATCCTCCTCCTTTTTGGAATTTAAGGAAATTAATACATTTTTGTTTCTTTGTTGGATCGATTGCAGCAACCCAAACCCAACATAACGGTATTTCACATTATATAGCATTAGTCNAATCATCTATAATAACTGCTAACTTCCTACCCTATCGCGTTGTTTTGTTTTGGTGACAACATGGCCGGTGTAAGTCACGTGATTGAAACCGAGTTGGCCAAACTCTCTCTATCTACGGCTCTGATATTAAACAGAGCCGTAGATAGAGAAAACTGATATTAAATAGTTCCTTTAAATCTCTAACAGATCCCCTTACACGGGAAAGGTGCTCCAAACATGCCGCACACATGCTGTAACTATTTTCTTTTTCCATGCTCTAACTGAACACTGTAGGCTAAAATTAAAATACATTTTGTATAAACTCAATTTGATAGTGATCAAATTAATATCCCAACCACTACGCGTATTGATAACTTGTTGGATTGGTTTATACCTCTAATTTTTTTTTTCAAGTTCATGCACTCCCAAATTACAATTCTGTTAGAAGCTAGCTTTCTTTAATCTCGCCGTCCGAACGGAGGAAACCCTTATGTTGTTAACACCGAATTTGATCTACACAAAGAGACATTTTAAAACTAAAGCACAACGTCAAGATGCTATTTACAGCGAAAATAAAGATTTGTAATGTCTGGGAACCACAACAAGGTCTAAATAACACATGAGAATTTATCTGTGAATAGTCCACAGTTCCATTGTTTCCTATAAAAAAAAAATGTACAGTAGACCTATATAGGGCCTAATCTGAAATTTAAGGCCTTATGAAGCAATTGTTGCAAGGAATATGCCTACTGTATAATTTCCCATTTAATTCGTCAAATATAGAATATATCAAGTTTGAAACTGTTTTGTATAACATGAACAATCAAATTCAGTATTTGAATAGTACGGTAAGTTTTAAAGCAGAGCAAATAAATCAGAACGAACTAGAAACATTTCACAAATTATCAAATGCAAAACAGTTGCAAGAGGCATTTAAATTTGCATTAATCCACGAATTTTATTCTTTTTAAATTTTACCTTGATTGATCCAGTTCCGAGTTCAGAGTAGAAGGGCTTTTATGTGAAATATTTTATATTTCTTAGAAAAAAGTGATGGTAGGCTAAAGCAGCAAAAACTAAATGTGTCAGACTGTCATTGGAGGTTCTGATTCGTTTAATTTACGAGCATTTTAATGTTTAAAATTAATGTATCTTTTTATTGGTACCAGAGTTGGCACCAGAATCATGCCCAACGCCTGGGTTCCCAACGAAAGTGTAAGCAAGGTAATTCAACAAAAGGACATTAAAGGTTAAAACTCTGGCATCGACATTCTAGGCGTACGTGCGTCCCTACACGCTGAACGTCACAAAAACCATAGCAACCAGACCATAAACCATCAGCGTACGTGACGATTTACCCACGCGCGTGTTAGTTGTCATGTTAGTCGCGCGTCGTGCGGTGATTACAGAGGCCTCCTAATGATATTTTGCACTAACATTAGACTGAAATATATTCTTCATTTCAACATTAATTTTACCAAAATTGTGGTGAATTGTCGTTCATGTTCCGTATATACTCAAATGTTCGTCCTCGGCACCTTATGCCAACATTGTCAAAATGACAGATTAATGTTACATAAGAACATGAAATTTTATAAAATTCGTAAATTTTGAATTGCTATAACTTTTCACAAATCAAATTGCAGCATTGAACAAGCTCGCGGAAAAAAAAATCAGATGTAATAGACATTGCGTACTTTGCGAAGTACCCAAAATTAATAAAATAAAAACTAACACCATAAAACGAATGGCACGCATAGACTAATAATTGACGGCTGTACTCGCAACTAGTATCGGTTTGTCGATGCCACAGTAAAGATCAAAGGACTGATCGTCAAAAGTGGTCCCCGGTGAGAAGCCGAAAACTGAATAGGGGTTTCAAAGGCTCATTTGGTCGTTTTAGAGTGGTGTCGCCAGCGAACGGTGGGGACAAACCTTGAATTTTTAAGAACTTAAGTCATTAAAAGACATCTCAGAAATAGGGAAAGCTCATTTTCCGCCATCTGGAATCCAACTTTTCCAGGGGAGAACACGAATCCCCTTTATTTTTGGGATTTACCGATTCATGGAAAAAGGAAAACGTATAGTATGCAACTACTCATTTTTTTTTATGTAGGCCTATGTACAGTATAGGCTACATACATAAAGCCTATTTACTGTAATAAGAATGAGAAAACTTACCTGACCGTTTTCATAAGGCAAAACCTTGACATTTAAAAAACTGAAAATTAAAGTAATTAAAAGACACTTCATATATGTCGGGAAAGCTAATTTCTCGAAAATTTAAAAAATCAACATTTTCTTGGGGAGAACCCGAACCATATTCCTATTTAAGTTCATTGATTCATATACGGTAAACATTTTTAAGAGGAGAGAACTTAAATGGCATTAAAATACACCTCAGAATCGGAAAAGCTCATTTCACGCCACCTAACAATCAAAATGTTCTCGGGGAAGGACCCTGGACCCACCTCCCACTTTTTTTCTTTTAGGTTTATAGATTCGTGGAAAACAGAATATGTATGCAACTACTCAATTTTCTTTTATGTATAAATACATACATACGGTACATGACAGGACTAGTGGTGCACCTTCACTGTAATAAGAAAAAGAAAGTTTTATACCAGGCAGTTTTCAAAAAGGGGAAAACCTTGAATTTTGAAGAACTTAAATGTCATTAAAAGACATTTCAGAAAGCTCATTTCCGCCATCACGAAATCGAAATTTTCCCAGGGGAAACCCGGAACCCATTTCCCTTTGGTCATTGATTCATGGAACTGTTTTCAAGAGGGAAAACCTTGTCATTCAAAGTCTTGAAAGCTCATTTCCTGCCGATTTTTCGGGAGAGGGACCGCGGACCCCTTCCTTTTTGGAATTTTTGGGAAAAATCTTTACCCCACCTCTAAATTTGAACCCAGATCCCCGTTATTCATATTCTTATTCATTTTACTATTGCTCCCCCCGCCCCCACTTTGAAAAACGTTCCGCCGGCCCTGCTTTCTCAGTTGTTATTATATGAAGATTTATCAGGAATGCCAATGTGAATGTTGAAGATGATGGTGATGATGATCAAGATGATAATGATGATGATGATGATGATGATGATGATGATGATGATGATGATGATGATGATGATTAATTTTAAATTAAAAGTAAATGTTAGTAAATGCAAGGTAAATGTAGTTTTGTACTACGACGACGGCGCGAATGTCAACTCTGTTGCTATGGAAATTGCTGAAATTGGAAGAGGGACTAGCCTTGCGTGTCTATATTCAGTGTAGGCCTATTGTAATAATTTCTCAGTATATAGGGCATAAATTCTATTGGCTTAGCGTTAAAAGAACAGTTCTCTGGAACAGTCTGACGCCTTCTGTGACATCAGCAAACTATTTGCATTGTGTGATCAATAAATACTCTCTTTATGATGCCATTTGGTTATATTATGAACATAGAGTTTTGTAAATAAACTCATAACATTTTACGAAATAATATTGTAT